GCCGAGGCCCGTGGTATATCGATGTTAATAACCTTGTATCAACACATAGATACAATGAGTATATGTATAGTATGCTTACTTGAGCAACCCCTTTAAAATCAACACCTCGGGCCATAACATCAGTACATATAAGTATCCATATCTTCCCCAAGCGGAAGTTCTCTATACACGTATCCCTCTGTTTACGACTCATATCAGAGTGAATACAAGCAACGAATACACCTGATCACACCACTCTACTAGTGAATGCAGCATTCATACCGAGCACATACCATCAAACATCAATTCCTTAGTGAGCTCCTGTGCTCTAGCCTTGCTCTGTACGAACGCTAGACATGGTGGTTTTACTTCACCGTTGGCTATCATTCTACGCAGGGCCACTAGCTTACCCTCCTCATTACCACAGAACAGGAGGCGTTGTTGTACCTGTAAATGATGTGATACAAGCCATGATGAGGCATAGAGTATTGATACATCCTTAGCAGCCGAACCTTGTTGGCCAACCCATACCCTATTCGGTGGTGGATCCATAACACTCATCATAAGATGCACTACATTGTCAGGCATAGTAGCAGAGAATAGTGATAGTTGGATAGTACCAAGGGCACTACCTGATGATCACGGCTGAGTACTTGCAGAAACATACCATAATACTTCTATTACCAGCAGTCCTACGACGTTCATCCTCCTCATTAGCATACTTGATAATCTCGTCAATTTGGTCCTGGAAACCCAGATCTAGCAACTTATCGCCTATAAATAGATTAATAGGAATCAATAGGTAATCAATACGAGTGATACCTTCATCGAAGACAATGACTTGAGTATTATTCAAATCCACTTTACCCTCCCTCAGAGCCTGTACCAGGCCTAAAGGTGTCTGTACCCCGATATCAAGCCTCTTAACCTGTATACTCAGGTGTAGACTACAAGGACGCTGGATAGTAGTACATTAGTATTCTTATCGAGTAGCTTGATCCTGAACTTCTTGGTGCATGCTTGTATCAATCTGTCAGCCTCCCTCACTGTTTGGACAGCCAGTTCCCGAGTGGGATCTACTATAATACCTCTACAGAACCTATGAAAGAGATACTGCTACATCTACAGGAACCAAGATAAACTACTTTTTCTCAGGTCTAGCTAAGCGTTGTAGTAGTGGCACAATGAAGGCTAGGGTTTTACCACTACCAGTAGGGGCCTGTGCTAATAGATGGTCACCAGTTAACATTAGAGGGATAGCCTGTGATTGGATAGGGGTAGGCTTGGGGAATCTAAAGGGTAGCACCTTGGTCATCCTAAGGTAGCCACCCTTATTACCCGCTCTTAGTCATGGCTTCCTTTAACCACTTGGATACTCTATCATCATCACTATCGGTGTCAAAGGTTAATATAGGGTCGGGAGGGTTGGAGGTACCGCTTACTCCAACACGGTTCTCTTTACGGAAATGGTTTGCCTGAAGTAGATGGAGATTTGGTATGCACAGACCTTGCCTTATGTTCAAGCGAAGTGGATATGTAGCAAGAAAGATGCCGAGCTGCTGCTGACGTGTTCGGAATAGGTTAGCAGCAGCATAAACCCTCTACTACCATCTCCAATCGTCGTGCTGGAGTAACAGTTTTCTTCCTACTCCTCTGTGCCTCATCAACAGCATCATCCTCTACACCATCCTCCTCATTAGTATCTCATTACACTCCCACATAAGAAATATGATTACCCTACATTACTACCATCTCTCTCTTCCTCATCCTCTTCCTTCTCGTCGTTTCCATCATTATTGAAGAGTTCTATATCAGCTGCCTTATCCTCATGCAGCTGCTGCTCCACCTCCTCTCCCTCGCCAGCCTCATTACCCTTACCCTTCTTCTTACCACGATGATGATGACGCTGGTGTGGTAGCTGCAGAGGTAGTAAAGTATTCGTCATACGGACCGCACTTGAGTAATACCTCTATTGATGAGGATGATGTAGATGCTGAGCTCCCCCCACCTAGGAATATACTATCCGCCTGAATATACCCCTGGAACCCAGGCCACCTACAATAGTACTACCTTCTGCACAGTACCAGGATTAGCTCCTTTGAGACCTCTACTATTGTCCCGACGACCTGGCCTATTGTTCTTACCAAGGACGGTGCCTGCCCGTAGTATGTCGAAGTAGGAGTTCATACTACTACTACTACCAATAGCACGATGATGAAGAGGAACCAGGCTTGGTTACTGGTACACCATCTTCAATGTCATGATTGGTCTCCACAGAGAGACTCGCATTGCCCTTACGTACAGATAGTTCCACCTCAGTTGCTGATGTCGACATCTATGATGCCTTAGTAGTAGTATAATAAAAAAAGAGCGACGATCTGAATAATTTGAGTAGGGGAAGTAGCTACAGCCCTGGCTTCGGGTTGTGTCGCGGCTGTCTCCTTTCACAAATAGTGTCCCTCTTGATGAGCATACCAGACTGCACACTGTGTCTGCTGTCAGTATTGCATGAGTTCATTTTGTGATTAATCAATACCAGGCTGGCAATTATCTAAAGTCAACACAACCATTGTATTCAGTAGACCGCAGTACCCCACGTGAAGTGAGACTTTCTTAGAGGCTAAATGGGACGCGTTACCCCTATCAGATAGCCAATACTATGAGTATAGACCATATCGTAAGTATCTATACGACCGATGAGGTGTAGTACAATGCGCGAAGCTTATTGCAACTGTCAGTGATGATTTTCATCACTCTAATGGGAACACTCTAATGAGGAACACTCACGATGGGAAGCTATCAGAATCAATTCAACGATCGCTGTTGAGTATTCCGGGCAGTATGAGGGAGTAGCTCCGTGGTCCACCACTGCCCCTGTACCCAGGAATCTAGCATCGAACTCTGTCATATCTCCATTATCCTGAGCCTCTGAACCTTTCGTACGACTAGGATATCACTTCACAAGGATGCCCTCACTATGCACTCTATCGGTCATGCTAGCTCGAAGTAGCACGTGACGTGCTGCACATCTGGGAAGGGCAATGTGCTTTTCCAGATTCAATAGCCATAAGAGTTCAGTGCTGCTGCAGTATCCCATGAGGGGAGTATTTAACAGTAGAGTGATAACGGAGTTAGTATGCATCTACACTGCCTCGAGTTGGGAATAGTCAGTAGCAATACTCTTAAAACGTTTCATATAGGCATTGGACACCACGACAACACTCTCTTGCCTAGTGGGTATACGCTACATCAAGGCGTCGGACGTCTGTTACCGCCAGCTTGAGCATCGGTTTGACTTGAAAAACTGAACATTCTCTGTTCGATTAGCGCGCGCCCGGGAGATCGATCTCGGACGATTCTCTACTACTAACGTTAGTGGTGTCTTGTGGTGTTAACGGTGTGTGTTAGTTGAGTTCGGTTGGTCCGTTGTTTCATGGCCAGCGTGTGGCTGATTTGACCAGCATCAGCATATGTAATAATACTAAGCTATAGATCATCATAGTAACTCCATTATTATTAGGTATACCGGTCAAAACCATCAGCACCAACAATCATCGTCAGCAACATCACAGCGTCGGTCTAGTTACTCTTACAATCGTCAACGACTCTCCTCCTCCCAACAACACCAACAACAAGACTCTGCGGGAGATGCTGAGTATGGTCGGCGTCCCTCCATTACAGGAGGTAACAACTCAGTAACATCTATGGACCAACAGGAGGGGAACAATTACCAGTATCGGATGCAGCAACAACAACAGCAGGGTTCCTCCTATGGTGGGGGGCAGCGGTCATCCTATAAACAAGTAGAGGCTAGTACTAGTGATGTTAGTATCATGCTGGCTCCTCAGGGTGGTGGACGAGGCACTAACAGTGGTGGCAACGATACATTTCCGAATTCACGCTCGACAACTACTCAATACTACAATGGTGGTAGTCAGCAGTATGCTAGCGGACGAACAGGTGGTACAAATAATCAATACTATTATCAGCAAGGAGGTAATCATCATCATTCCCGTAACACTGGAGGGGAGTATAACCATCATCATAATCACTATGGTGGGGGTAGCAAGGGTGGTGGGATGTCAGTACGCCATAAAGGAGGAGGAGGAGGAAGCCAACGCAATGTTGATACAGCTAACTACCGTCACTACCAACAAGGCAATGCCCAGGTGACTGGTGCCATGTATGATAACTCTACAGATCAGCAACAACAGGTCCAGGGAGGTTACTCATGCGAAGATACCGCTGATGTGAGTAGTAGTGGCAACACTGGGGAATCGGATCCTAGTGGACCGACTACTGCTGCTGCTAATGTATACTGGCAACAGAACTACTATGCCGCGATGGCAGCAGCTGCAGCAGCTGGTAATAATGGCAACCCAAATGGTGGTATGTCTGAGTATCAAGCTGCTGTTGCTGCTACTGCTGCATACTATCAACAACAACAGCAGTATTACTATCAACAACAACAAGCTGCTATGTTGGCTATGCAACAGCAACAGCAGTCTGGGGAACAACGCCAGCAATCCCAGCCTCAGCAAGGTACGCCGCAAGTCCTATATGGTGCTGCACAGGGACAATATGCTCCCGGTTATATGGCTCCTAATGCTATGGCTTGCTATTACTATTACTATCAACAACAACAACAACAAGGCATGAATACTCCACAGCAACAGGCATCAGTACCTGTATACTACAACACTACAGGGACTAATGACAGTGAGTCTTCTGCCACCTCTTCATCGGCCTCTGCTGCTGCTGCTGCCACTGCCCCTCAAGTCCCGTATTATTACTACGACCCTAACACTGCTGCTGCTGCTGCTGGCAATAGGCAAGGTGGTCTAATACCCTCGACACAGGCTTATTACTACTACTATCCCCAACAGCAGCAACAGTATATACAGGCTTACAGTCATGCGCAACAACAAGAGTCTACACCAGAAGGAGGAGGAGTGGGACAAGCTTCATATGAGGCTGATGGGATAGGTGAACAGCAAGAACAGGAGGAGGAGGAGTCTGATGAGGATGTTGTTGATAACGATGATCAGCGTAAAGGGAGGAGGAGGCCTGGACTAATTGCTAAGCTTACTACACCGATACAGAAGACGACCACCACGACGAGCGATGTGCACATACTTCCTACTCCTGTTATTAATACACCTGAGGACGGTGTGGGATCTGTTGAGGTTAAACACAGCGGTGAAGCAGGGAAGGATGGTATTCACAGTGAACAGAAGGAAGGATCTGTGAGGGATCGCTGTGTGAAGGGGGGCTAACATAACTATATGAATTTTAGGTGCTCACTTCTGGTGTGAAAGCACAGGACTTGGGATCGGCGGATAAGGCGGATATTGTGGT